CGCGGGAGCGGGAGCGGAGTCGCAACGAAGAAGAAGAAACAAAAGAAGACAAGAAGAAGAAGAGAACGAAGAGAAAGCAGAAGAAGAAAAGAAAAAAAAAAAATAAAAAAAAAATTGTTGTCGATTACTTATCCGCATGGAGGTAGCAACGACGATGACGAGGATGGCACGGCGCGACGAGGAGGACGACTGGCACGGTGGTGGTGGCGTCGCACAGCGACGACGATTGCGACGGTGACGATGATGACGTGGCACGACGGCGACGATCACGACGATGACGTGGCACTACCATGTCAATCACGACGATGACGATGATGACATGGCACGACGGTGACGATCACGACGATGACGTGGCACTACGACGACGATGACGACGACGATCACGACGACGATTGTGATGATGGCGAGGTGGTGACGACGAAGCAGGGTGGGTCGGGCAGGTTCTGCTTCGATACCAGTGTGACGAGCACGAGGCTGAGGGAGAGAGAGAGAGAGAGCACTCACTCACTCGACACGACTGAGGGTGAGGGTGAGTAAAGCACACAGCACACATACAACGTCTGTGAAAGTGACAAAACTTTTTTGAGGTACAAAATCCAAGAGGCCGCAACAATGACAACTCGAGAACCCGTTCTCCTCCTCCCGATCTTCTCCCTTCTCATAGCCAGCTTCATCACTAACCCAAACCTGGGAAAGCCCCCAGGAGTCGAGTCAGCAAAAGAGGACTAGGCTGTAGTCAAAGGCAGGAAATAGTTGCACATCAAGCTGATGGTCAATACCCAAAACTGGTCCCGATTCCTCGCGAAGTCGCTCAAGGCTTTCGAGGAGAATCGGTTGCAAAAATCTTTCGCTCGGAACTCCCTACGAAGCGTTAGAACCTGGCCCGGAATTCGGTCCCGAATCGTGGTATTGCGATCGATCCTATACAGTGAACCGGGAACAGAGGCCAACTTCTGTTTTCTGCAGGCCCAAGACTCGAAGTCCTGACCGGTATGAAAAGTCAGGCTGTAAGAGTCCCATATTGTCGCTTCGTTTCAAGGCTTGGGGGTAGCATTTCTCGAATTTCTTGCGAATTCTATTATCTCTGACGACAGTTTGAGGCTCATCTTTTTGATACGCCAAAAAGATAGACACATCGTCCATGAGTCGTACGCCATAGATCAATCAGCGATCTTGACCCAAGGAGACCAGAAACTGCCACTCTGCATGTGCACACATAACGCATGTAAGTGGCGGGCTGGTACTTTTTCCCATTGGAATCCCAAAAACTTGCCGTAAAATCGCATTAGATGCTACAGTGCAAGTATGACATAGCTCAAAATCCACAAACCTACGCAAATCCGTCAAACCGATCTCCCACCATCCTGCATATTTCATCTTCCCAAACGAAGCTCCCTTTCCTCGTGGATTAACCCGGATCACATCCTTGTCGCGAAAACAATCTAGGATCCAATCCAAAGCAAGGCGAATCTCATGGTGTGGCAGCCTACTAAACATGTCTTTAATGTCATATGAGACTGCCATCACCTTCGCATCCTAGTAAGTTTGTTTCATACATGAGTTTGCCCTCTTCAGGCTAGCGGTCTGACCTCCCACACTACTCAAATTGAAATGCAATCGTTTCGGGAAGGAATTAAGAAGCAAATTCAATGCTTTAGCTACCTTCTTACAGACAAGGTTGGTCGGTTCCTCGTAGGTCGGGCATGTGGGCCTAAAGCGAGACAAGTCCTTCTGCTTCGGCAGAACATATGCACGACCTATCTTCCCGCTTACCTTCCACTTTCCCAAAACATCCAGACCCCTTCGCCTATACTCAGCTTGCGGTTCCGTCCAAATTCGTTCCTCACTTTTTGTAGTAGCCACGTATCCACGGTTCCCAACGAAAAGTTCGTTCATGGCGTCATAATACATGCGGGGGCACATCACGACAATCTCTCCCGAATTACGATCTATGGGCGTGAACACCAGATCTTTGAAACGATTACGTAGCTTAAGGACATCTTCCAGAGACACGTCCCCTGATTGCCTAGATGTCGAATTGAAACAACCATCGGCATCTACTTTGTCCACCGATATCTGAAACTTAGGTCCTGGTTTCCAATTCTCAAAACTGTCCGCAATTTCCTTCCTCAACTGTAGCGTTGTGTGAGATTGTCTTGCTCGAGGTACGTTGTTCGAGTTCCAAATGGTTTTTGGAATCCCCTCAATACCACTCAATTGACATTTGACATGACCCTCAAAACGAGGTGAGTCATTACTCATGCAAGTGCAGGCCTGCACATCCTTAATGGCGGCCTTACGATGATTACACAGGATATCAGCGATGGATCGGTTCTTCACCCATACCACCCTGACTTGCTTCTTATAAATGTCGCTCACGAAACTTGGGAAATCCAAACTATCAATCTTTTTATCACATACCCTCCTTACTCCCGCCAAACTCACACGATCATCAAATTTAACGCGCACGATCAATTGAGCAAACAAATTCAAATGGTAACCCTTCTTAATTGCCGCAAATAAAATTCTCTTCAGAAACTGTCTAGTAGCTTTCTTACTGAACTCCTTAGCTGCACCGACTAATTCCAGCAAAAAATACAAGTCTCTCTGAAACAGCGTGTGTCGTTTATAAAGAAGTCGGAGAATAGAGGTAAAAAAGGAGTGTAGATGTTTACGATGCTTCTTACGTTTTTTAAGATGCAAAAACACAATCTTACTTCCTGCTTCGATCGAGCTCTTGCATTCTTTAAAACGACAAGTTTTCCCTTCAACCTTCACCTCCGAATTTTCGAACAGCCTACGAATGATCTTCCATTTTTCACACCACACCGTTCCTCCTTCAGAAAACAAGTCGAAGCTACGAATACCTTTCTTCTCTGCTTCACACAAAACTTGCAGGATTCTCACCGAACCAATTGACGAATCATTACGCATGACCTTCACTATCTTCGTCCCCCCATGTGGAAGGAATACCTTACGAGGTTTCGCGTTGTCCTTTCCTACGCTCCTTTTTACCTCGTCTTCCCCTTCTCTTCTGCTTCCTGTTCCTCTTTCTCGTACCCGTGTAACCTCGTGAGTTCAGGCTAGGGGACCAAGTACGAATGTACAAAGACTCAAGAGTGATCAACGTGTCTGCCCGGTCCACTCGGATAGGGATCAGGATATAGCTATGGATTCCGAAATTTCCCAACCAACGATGAAAATGAGCAGAAGAACAGTCAACATCTACCGATTACTTCCTATGCTCTGACCAACGTAGGTTAAGTGACCTTTCCGTTTTTCCGATATAGGTAGCTTTACACCAAGGAGATATCCCTACATACACACAGCAACTGGGATCATCGAAAACATGAGAATCGTTGACAATCAGACTGTACCAATCATTCACGAATTTCGACAACCACAGGATACCTCTCAAAGTGAGAGCTACTATCGCCCATCTGTACAGAGCCTCTACTTCCTTATCAATCGGCCCGTTACCTCGTCGAAGGTTCGACAAAATCGTACAACACTCCCAAAGTTCAGCAACAGTACAACTGCTTCATGCCTGCTTCTCCTTTTCCGATTCGTCTGTCTCATCGGACTCACTTGATTCCTCTGAGTCAGAGTCGCTATCTCCGAACTGGATGATGCGGCTGCATTCTTGCCCTTTCCCGGCTCGGCGTAAGCAGGCGGTTGCACCGTACCTCGTCCATTTGCTAGCTGAGCTCGATGTTCGGCCAAAGCAGCCACAACTTGTCCTTTCCTCACGTATATCACACCTGCACTCTTGCAAAGACGTTGTACCTCGCGGTAATCCAATCCATCGAGATACTTCTCCGTATCCAACTTGAACTGCTCCCTGGCGCCAGGACCCGATCCTGTCGATGCTCCTTTAAGTGTGGGATCATTTCCCCCCCGCAACGTTCTCATAGTAATCGGTTTCATCGTATTCTTCATCTTCTTGCTCGCTTTGGTGGAAGACAGTGGTCTTCCCCTCCTTACTCGAATTTGCATCAGTGGAGTAGCAGCCGGGCTGGACTCCGATTCCTCCTCCTCCGTTGTGGTAGTTCGCTTACGCTTATCCGTCAGTGCTAAGCTTCCCGACCGCTGACCAATGGCGGAAATCGCATCATCCGATTCTGATTCGGAACTCCCATGGTAGCCCCGATGCTTGCGCAGTGCTCTTTGCTCACGACGACATCTAGTGCGACTCTTGCCCACCTCCGGGGAGTATTTACCCCCCAGTCGTTCGTGCTTCATTCCATATCGCTTCGAGAACTGGATATTGACAATCCTTGCCAGTCTCTGATCATTCTCTTCTTGCTCTTGTTTCCGTTTCTCCTCCTTCCTCAATCTTTTTTCTTCCTTCTCCATCCTCTCTCTTTCTAGCTTCAGCCACTCTTCCTTTTCTTGCTTCTTCTTGACCTTCGCCTCTTCTTTAGCCACCAGCAGTGTCACGAGGTCCTTGACTCGGTCAGATCCGCCGCCTCCTCGCCTTGAATCAAAGGAATCTCCACAAGTTTGTTCCCGTCTTTTGTCCGGTGGCGAGGCTGCGCGCCCAAAAGGTCGTTTGGAGCCGTCTCCCTGCTTAGCTTCCAGGGCTTCATAGCGGTCCTTCCAATGCATCCAGCAATCGCGAGCATAGTGTCCTGGGTGCTTGCAGTTGCAGCATGTAGGCGGACCTCTTCGCTGCGGCTCTCTATTTCCACCTTCGTCATTACCCTGCTGGCTCGATGACGCCATCGCATATCAATGTTACGTAACCCGCTCCGTCATCCGTGAAGGTACAACTTCAAACTGAACCGTAAACGTCTTCGGCAACTTCCAGATACTTCCAGATACTTCCCAATACTTGACCACCTAACGAAGTGTCGTCCCTCCGTCAGTTACCAAGGGCTTCAACAAGGGTGAGTAAAGCACACAACACAGACAAAGTCCGCGAAAGTGACAAAACTATTTTGAGGTACAAAATCCAAGAGGCCGCAACAACGACAACTCGAGAACCCGTTCTCCTCCCTCCGATCTTCTCCCTTCTCATAGCCAGCTTCACCACTAACCCAAACCTGGGAAAGCCCCCAGGAGTCATGTCAGCAAAAGAGGACTAAGCTATGGTCGAAGGCTTCTATATATAGTAACTACAGGAAATCGTCGCACAGCAAGCTGGCGGTCAATACCCAAAACTGGTCCCGATTCCTCGCAAAGTTGCTCAAGGCTTTCGAGAAGAATCGGTTGCAAATATCTTTCGCTCGGAACTCCCTACGAAGCGTCAGAACCTGGCCCGGAATTCGGTCCCGAATCGTGGTATTGCGATCGATCCTATACAGCGAACCGGTAACAGAGGCCAACTTCTATTTTCTGCAGGCCCAAGACCTGAAGTCCTGACCGGTACGAAAAGTCAGGCTGTGAGAGTCCCATATTGTCGCTTCGTTCTTTGTCTTCTGAAGGCAGCCCAAATACGGGTAGGTCGACTTCACTTCCATTCCGCAGCCCAAAAAATCCCAAGTCCCTGACCCGTCATCAGTCCGCTGTAGACTCAAGGCTCGGGGGTAGCATTTCTCGAATTTCTTGCGAATTCTATTAGCTCTGACGACAGTTTGAGGCTCATCTTTTCGATACGCCAAAAAGATAGACACATCGTCCATAAGTCGTAAGCCATAGATCAATCGGCGATCTTGACCCAAGGAGACCAAAAACCAGAAAACGCCACGCTGAGGGACTCGACGGACGCAGACACAGTGGCAAAGACACAAAGTCGAAGTCTTGGATACCGAATGTCAAAACAGCAAGTCACACTGAGTACGAGTACAAAAGCTGAAAACTGGTACGAGACTGGTCCCCATACTGTATGGGGAGCCGGTACAAGTATCGGTGACACGTACGGTACCAGGGGCATTTTTGCAAAAGCCCCAAGGGCAGAACTGAAAAATGCGGTATTTGAAAGTGGCGCCCGAATTGCAGCATGGCGCCAGTTGTCCAAAATCCGAGGGTACTAAAGCAGGGGTTTGAAAAAAAGGGTGCCAGGCCGAAAACGGGATGCAGCAAAAACAGCAAAAAGATAGACCAGGGGTTGAGCCCTGGCGGAGTCCGTAACACCAGGCTAACTTTCCATGTAGGAAAGTGAGCACCCAGCCAGAAGGACATTCTGGGCTTGCGCTGCTGGGTGCTGCTGCATTGTGAGCAGACAGGCTGCCTGGGCGCTGGTTAGCCAGAGGTGCACGTGGGCGCTGCGGTGGCAGTGGGCGCACGACTGCCAAAGCCGGGTTGCTGGGGTGCATGCAGAGGATGGTGATGGTGGTCTTCGGGTGTCGGGGATGCGCAGTGTGGGAAGTCGAGGGGTGAGGTGAGAGAAGAGGGAGACACATACCTGGTGTATGCTGGCAGTCTGCATTGGCGACTTTGTCACGTACATTGGTGTTCAGCTTCGAAGTGACTCGTGTTGCATGAAAATAGTGTAGGCTAGAAAGACATACCTGGCTGGGCGCTGAGCGCCAATCTGAAAGAGCGACATTGGATACTACGTTGACGAGGCGAGAGCGTGCCGACATTGACATTTGAGTTCACTGTACTGCTCTTATTTGGCTGGTATCTTGGTGCGTTGTGCTTTCTGCTTGGTACGCAACTATCTAGACTACAGCGTGATTTTGCAATTTGGCTTTCTGTCTATCGCTCTCACGCATTTTCCTTGCAGCTCTCTTATGCTTGTAAAATCATGCAGTGGGAGTGAGCTTTGCCGTGGCATAGGGCTGGGCTCCTCCACACGGTGTGTTTATGGCGGACCTAGCTCATGGTACTAAGATCCAGTCGCAGTTTCTGGTGGTTTGTGCTGTGAGAGTACTACTGGAATGGCTCATGTGGGTCCTATAGCTGTTAGTGAGGAAACTGATGGCATTGGTCGTAAAAAAGTGGCGAGAACCTGTGCCATGGGGTGTCGTTTACCGCAGGGTTGCACACCCCGACGGTCGGCGGCCCTTGACTGGTCGGCTGCCGACCCGCCGACCTGTCTCTTATACACATCTAGATGTGTATAAGAGACAGAGTGTGGACAGTGCACAGTGCTGTAGCCTATGAGCGACGTGGAGGATACCGGAGAGGACGACCGCACGACCTTACGATCGGTTAGAGGACCGGTA